CCTCACCACCCTCACTGGGAAGAATTTCTTCCTCATATCTCATCTAAATCTTCCCTCTTCCAGTCTAAAGCCATTACCCCTTGTCCTACCCTCCATGCCCTTGTACAAAGTCCCTCCCCAGCTTTCTTGTCGGCCCCTTTAGGTACTGGAAGGCTGCTCTGAGGTCTCCCCGGAGCCTTCTCCTCTCCAGGTTGAACAACCCCAACTCTCTCAGCCTGTCCTCACAGAAGAGGTGCTCCAGCCCTCGGGTCATCTCCGTGACCTCCTCTGGACTTGCTCCATCAGGTCCATGTCCTTCCTGTGTTGGGGCCCCCATCAATGAATTAATTTTTGGTTTTCAGTTTTAATAATTTTCTTTCATTTGCCTTGCCACAGATCCATTGAGCCAGCAGGGGTAAATGTTAGCAGAATGTGGAAAAGAAGCTGTACCATAAAACCAAACTGATAAAGTAGAAAAACCCCACTTTTTTTCCTCTGCTTTTCTCTCTTGTTTACAGTAAGCTTCCATGTCTCCTACAACAGTTGATATTAGAATGAGATGTCTATCTTGACAGCTTTTGATCTCACTAGTTTCCGATTTATTTTGAAGTTGTGCTTTATCTTGAGCTTTTGATTTGAACACTTCACAGTCTATATGGGGCTCTTATTGGTCTCCTTATCATTTTGCAAAGTTGTGTAGACTTTCAACTTCTAAATTTATTCATCTAAAGTGAGAATATTAAACTCAAGATAAAACAAGGATGCTATAACAAATAACAAAAAGATTCTATGAAATACGCCAGAATGGTCTGATAGAAGAATTTTTTTCCTTGCTAAATCTGTCTAGTTAGGGTGAATTGTAACAACAGACTTCCCTTTGAGTTGAGATTTCTGAACTACAGATTTGCGTACATATTTTTTGAGACCACCTTGGCTCAAAGAGTGCTATGGACAATGCAGAAAACTAGAACTCACACAGAGTAATAGCTATAACTTCATAAATCCACCTTCTACTGGAAAACTGATCACTAAGGCCGTAGCAAGTGCTACTAAAGGGTGAATTAAGTTTGGAAGGGAAAACAGCAACTCATCCATAATGACTAAGAGCATATTGTTAATATTGTTCCTGCTAATTGTTGATAAACATCATTATTAATAGAAGCAGAATATGCCTTGAACAAGAAAAATGTAAAATATGTCATTTCAAATAGTCCCAATTGTTAATTTTCTTGTAGGTACTGGAAGACATCTTTAATGGGAGTCTGTCTTTAACAATGGTGCCACTGTGCAATCAACAAATTATGAATAAATTAACCTTAGCCAAAATGCATTTCATCATTTGCCTTTCTGCCACAATAAATAATATACCTGAAAAAGTGGAAAAACACGTCTATTCTGTTGACAACAACTTGAAGGAGCAAAGCAGTATAACAACATTAGATGTAGAAGGTAATTGGTGGTGGAAAAGTGCATTTATTCTGCAACTTTTTTCAAGCATAGTTTTTCCACTTTTAACTGCATATGCATTAACGTGTCATATTATAAACAATATTCATATTAAATGTTGCTGGAAAAATCAGTCATTGTTGAAATAATAAGGATTATGACTTTTCAAGGTTTTTTTAGCTAATATCTCTAATATTATTAGAGCTGTATTCCATTCTTCCTCACTTATTTTGATATTGAAAGTTCCAATTATAAATAGAGAAAAAAAGGGGCATATTCTTCAATTTACTGAGAATGCTTTGGTTCTGTTTCTGTTATCTAAAATTTCATCTGAAATGCATTTGACAGTTGATGCTGATAACAATTCAAGACAACAGGAACGAAGAGGCACAATGGTGCAGCTCGTTGGCTGTAAAGATGAACTAAATATGGCCATGCTGAAGGTAATTTTAGTTTGTAGGAAAACAGGCCTGAGAAACTGCAGATTGTTCCAAAAACATTGCTAATCTTTCAATGTAACAGAAGTTATGATGAGAGGATGGCATGAATAACGGGACTAGAAATTTCTGTTGCTAATCTGATTGTAATCTTACTAGCCATACATGAAGTCTTGGTGGTTTAGTGCAGTTTTTCAAATGGTGTCCATGGGAAATATTGTTGCAATCAGATCTCAGTATGACTGTTTCAGCAATGAGGGTAAAGACTGAATGGAATTTCAAGGATAAAATCATCTCCTTTCAGAGGGTGGTGCCTATAGAACATGTCAGAGACTCTTTGATGGGGCAGTGTCCTCTACAAATAAATAGAAAACTATTCTCTACCATCTGTGAAATAACTCAAATTTTTCATGTTCCCCTTTCTGATACTTTAATTTGGAGAAAACATACCACAGCTTACTAGCTTCTTTGTTTGAAGGGGTTTTGGTTGGTTGGTTGGTTTTGGTTTTAGTTTTTGTTTTGTTTAATTGTAAACTTCATGCTTGGCAGTTTCACATCACAAAAAGACCAAAATTAAGGGCTGACATATTCTTCTTTCAAAAGGGTCTTCCACTTTGGACGTGTCGACTTTTGGCCACTGTTACAAACAAAGTAATGTACAAAATACATCTGGAGAAATGGAGAATGATTTTGTATGGCAATTGGTATATGCCATACATTAGAAACTTGAAAGTTTTAGTATACCTTTAAAGTAACCTGAAAACAGCATCTTGAAAATAACTAAAATAGAAATGTCAAATTAATTTGAATGGGGCTTGTTTGAGAGACATAATGTATTTCTTACCCTTCTGATTTTTCTCTAAGCCTTCTATTCTTTTGGTTTTTTAAGTAGAGCTCCGAATTCTTTGAGGAAACTGGTTGAAAAAAGATACTGGATGATACAAACCTTTGAATTATTTTTGAATTCTGCTGAAAGCTCCATGATTGAGACTTTATTTAAAATTAACTTTCTTTTAGATTTGGCTTTCACAGCCTCTTACAGCTTTGTTTGTCAGAAAGACTAAATTACAGTTGAACTTCCAGCATACATACTGCACTTAAGGATCTGTCAAAGTATAGATAGAAAAGAATGTAATACTTCTTGCAACATCTTTAGTGTTGTATTTTATTGTTTAAATTATTAAGCATAGTAAGAAGTATAGTATACAATTATCAAGTATAGCTATAAGATAAAGATAAGAATGAAAAAAGCAGTAATGTTGCTAAGGCTTAAAATATGTAGTTAAGCATGAATTGCAATACTACAGGCACAGTTAAGATGTTGCTACTTTCAACACATTGAATCTGTAAACTTGAAAAAAGCAAAATTAACCCCCCTTGCTATTTATAGAAAAGGCATATTATATTCAAATTGACTTGTTTTAGAGTGCAGTGGTAGTAGGCTATAACAGAATAAAATACTTTTAAAGAAATTTTTTCTTTCTTTCATTATTTTTTGAAATCTTACAATGCTGTGTTCTTCTCTAGGGAATTTTATTGACAGAAGCTGAAGAAAGTCTCAGCCATCTTGTGCAGAACATACAGGACAAATATGATGGGGAGATATCTCAGTGTTCTGCTGAAGATTTAGAGGCTCTTATTGAGGCCAAACTTGAGCTGGCTGCTATTTCTCAGCAAAGATACCAAGCAGCTTTCAGGCAAGTAATGTTATGGACAACCTTATGTTGCACAGCCTTGACTCCAGAAGATTGAAAAAAAAGATCTAGCAATTTTTTCTTTGAATCCTTTATGTCTACATTAATATTCTAAATCTTAGTAAGCAGGCGTAACAACCCCACTAGTATATCTACAAATGTAAGTTACACTGGCATTTCATTTTTGATTATTGCTTCATTTTACTTTTTAAAAGATCATCAGTTGTTGGCCCACGATTTCTCTGTGAGGTGTTTTTGTGATAGTGTTATATAAAAACAAAGAAAAAGCTGCAATGTTCACTGTTTTTGTTAACGTAAAAGTCTGGATATGTTAGGTCATGCATTTTTTTATAATTTTTAAGTGTACAGCAGACCACTAAGGTTATCTCTGAACTACTGAATTCTACTTTGTTCTAGAATGCCCTGTATTACTGTCCCAAAAGAACATTTCCTCTTGATGTACTTACATCATTGATGTCAAATTACAATGATAAAATTATATTTTTAAAATTAATTTGATTAAGAAGCATTGATGTAACCTTTAAGATATTAGAACAGATTTTAGCAGGCATTAATTATATTGTTAGTGATAGTGCATAAAATACTGTTGTATTTACGTGAGCTGCCAGGTATTTTCTCCAAATTGTAATTTCCAAGTTCTGTGATTTTTTGAGGTTCTGATTTCTTTTGGAGAATTTAATGAAATTACAGTTGTGCTGTTCTTTGAATATATGGGGCATACAGAAATATATTAACTCTGTAGATGTTAAGTTCTGAACATTGTTTTGATCTTTTAGCTAGGAGGATTTTTCTGTTTATCATACCTGTAATTTTAAATTAATTGGTATAAGCAGGATAATAGTTTAAGAAGACATCATTTTTATTAGTGTCAAGCTCTTTTTATCTAAGTTTTTATTAGGTTGAAAAACCTTTGAGGGTACAAATTGTTAACTAGATATGCAGCATACAGAGGCATAGCACTGTCACTTGCCAGACTATATTGAGATCAGGTAGAATGCAATCAGTATTTGTAACTTGCGTTAGGTCTAATCTGACTAAACATACCAAAATTATTACAGTAAACCTTACATTATAGTTAGCACCAAGCAAAAAGCAAAATTAACTTTTTTTTTTATTGTTGGAATACTGGTGAAGATTGCTGTAACACTCTTACTGATAAAGTGGTAGCTGATTCAGCAAGCCAACAGATAAACCAGCCTCTGGGTTTTTTTTATTGCTCCTTTTTACCCCATTAACAAAAAATAAATGTTTTCTTCTATGTCAAAAGAAACCTATCTTCCTTCTCCCAGCTGTCTTTGGTGAATAAACAAACAAATGATATAGCCTTTAAATAGCACAATTCCATTTTCCTTAGCTGCTATGGTACAGCAATAAAAAAATAAAATTAACAAGGACAGGAGCTTCCCAGTGCTGTACAGACTACGGACCTAAAACCAGTAGGAGTATTGCATGGTCTTTCACCTGTGTTTTGCCTATGTCATTTTAAAAGACAGGAGTTTCCCAGATGTTCAGATATTAGGACTGTAAGAATTTAGTAGTAATGTCATTAGTGAAGATGTGAAGTAAGAACTTGTAGGCTATTTGTGGACATTTCTCATCATGAAATATTAATCTATTTCAGTGGCTTTTGAATTAGATTAATTTAACATAAATTTGTCAAAGAGAAAACAACAAGTCACTGGACAGTGACCTCATCGTGCTTTTGAGTGCCATGTGGATTTTATAAAATGATCATACTAGTAACTAAGGACCAGTACACAGATTTATGAAATATCCTGTGCATAAACCCTGTTTAGCTTGATACTAGGCTTGGTAAAACCTATATTAGCAGAGTTCTGACCCAAAGTTTCTCACCCTGCTAAACTGGTTCCAGTATGCAAGCCATTTTCTGTGCAGGACCCTTCTTTTTGACATGCAGTTATATCCTAGAGTGTCATTTCTCTCTTGGCTTACAACTTGTCGCAGATTGAAGAAACTTTTGTTAGAGTATTAAGGGTTCCAATGGATGTCAAGCATTATATGGATCATTTTCTGGGACTTGCAAATTTTTGATGGGTGTTTAATGGGCCTTATATATTCATAGTGGTCAGATAGCAGGAAAAAACCCTACCAACAAACAAAGCAAGGGTTCGGGTTTTTTTAACCTATTTTACAATTTTATTGCACTGCCATCCATGGAAACTGCTGATATATCTGCCTAAGGTACAAATGAAACATTCCTTCAGACAGCTGAATGTTTCCTGCCTGCCAGCCTAGAAATCAAACTTTGCATGATATTACAGAAATTCATCATTTTTTTCCTTTGGCAAAATGACTTAGTGGTGAAATTGTTATAGTCAGCTGTACTTTCCTATTTTGATCATCTTGTCACTTTCTGATTCAGCTGATAAAAGGATGTGTATTTTGTCAAGGGAAATATATAGACACATCACTCTTGTTGACAGGAGAAGAGGGTCACAAAAATTTCATCAAGGGAAGCTTCTACATTACAGCTTCTGTCTTGCAAAAAATTTGTGCCTCAGAATACTGTATGTATAGGATTAATTCCATTGATCTCAAGGAGAGTACTTACATGGTGTCTCCTATAAGTATGTGAGCTTTCTAATTATGCAAATATGTGCTTGTCTGCTTATGTGAATACATTACTGCGTAAAACAATACATATATGAGTCTTTGGACTTTTGGTCTACATTTCACTCATGATATTTATATGTAAGCATGTAGGTAAAAATGGCCTCATTTTCAGAATTGCTTAATATTGACACCAGCAGTTAACAGGAGGCAGTGGTACTCAGAAAGTTAGGTTGATATTTCTTAAAAGCCTGTATATGCTCTTGGGTGCTGCACCTTCTCCAACTTATTTGAGAAATCTTAGCCATAGCATCTCTAACAATGTTTTGAAAAATGTCAGGTTTTGCTGTAATTTTAACTTTGATGCGTGGTTTCAGGGGAAAACTCGTCTTAATAAAAAGAAAGAAAAGCAGCTGGGATATTTCATTGCATTACCCTTACTGTCTGTTTTGCTTTCATAAGCAAATTCTGTTTCATCTTTCCCATTGTTAGAGAGAAGTTTATCATCAAATTCAACATTGATTTATTCTGGTTTCATTTTGTTGAATAAAACTGAGGTAAAGGGATGATGAAGGAGATTCATAAGGATTGAATTCTAAGAGCTGAAAGGCGAGATATTAACAGTTTTGGGTGTCCTTGTTACTTTGGGGTCTATTTGTGCTGAATTGGTGTAATCCATCCAGGTCTGCATCACAAAAGCAGCAAGCAGGATAGAATCAGGAATGACAGGAAGAGTTTAACTCCCCTTTTGTCTCTGGGGGTTATCCATCCTGTGGTTAGATACGTGTTGGCAGAATAATGTGAGTAATTTCAGAGCAGTGCAGCTCTTGTTCTGACTTCTTTGTGCATGAATCAAGAACTTTGCCTTTACAACAATTACTCTAGAACTTCTCAAAAGCAGTAAATTCACAGAGAGCCTGAATCTTTCTTGTATTAAAAGCTCTTTACAGTGTTCTGGCAGTGTAAAAAGGACTTAAGGTGTTCATAAATTATTTTTTTTCTTTTGCTTCATAGAAGCCGGTCTCTACGTAAAGAGAGTCTCTCTCTATGTAAAAAGACAGCATAGATGAGAATTGTTGTTATACACTTTTAACAATTAACCTGCTGAAAAATCTTTTAAAAGGTGAGCTAGGGATACCTTCAGGTACTTTTGCATCATTAGGAAAATATGTTTCAGTGGGTAGAGGATTGTAAAAAAATCAGAATAGTAAAAAAAAAAACCCAACCTCAAAAATGTTTTAGAGAAGAGGTAGGAAAGCAGAGATTTACAGATGTAGGGGAAAATGTACAGTTAGAAATAGAAAACTAATACTGTAAGACATCGGTTTTGGCAGTTCTCAGAATATTTTGAGCAGCGTGTTCTTTGGGCAACAAATCCTGTTGTGCAAAAGATCTTCTCACTATGTTGGTTTTGCAAGCGTCTTCATATCATGAAAATAATTATATTCACAAAGTCTGCTGTTATACATTTTTACAGATGTCATGAAAATTGAACAGTATATCTGAAAGCTTTAAAAAGACAGCATAAAAAGGAAAAAAAAATTCTAGCAGTTAATATTTTAAGCGACCTGACAGTATTTTGAGATCCCAGCTCACAATATTTTGAAATGTGGGGTGAAATGCTGCACGAGTCCTAATCGTGTCTGGATCTTTCTAGATGCTCTTTGGAGTGAATGCCAGAACAGGATTTATGACTGGGGACGGGGGGCAGGTGGCTCAGTGCCGTGTGGTTGCTTGCTGGCCAGGTTTTGCCAGGATGGCACCTGGCTCAATTGTTGGCTGATGGCGTTTACTAAGATCCTGTGAGCCTTTGGTCATGTGGATTTAACAGAAGGATTAACGTATAGCCTGGAAAGGCTTTAAGGAGGAAGGTGTTTTCTTACCTCTGGTTGTGGATGAGGTACAGAACGCTCCTCACGTATTTTGTCATTTTCAGTATTCCTACATCTTCTAATTTGTAAAAGCCCATCCCTGAAGACAGATACGTGTAACTGAAAGCTATAGTAGAGTTCTGTTTTGCTTGCTCCAACAGAATATGATCTATCTTGGTTTATCCATTATTGCCAGGTTCTGTCTGTTATTGGCAAAGCTTTTCCCCTTCCTGCTGTTTTCTCACTTTCATACTGCAGTGCCTACAAATTCAGAATATAGTCTGAGTGCAATTTTTTTGTTCTACTGAAGCAAAAATTGATAACTGCTGATAGACATCTCTGACCTAGTCAGAAATGAAGTCTCTATTATAATAAAAGCATAAAATGCCAAGTATAAATAGTATTTTTTAACAATATTGTTCTATATCACAGTGTTGCTTTGGCTTTCTCTGCAATTCGACTTCTCCAAGATGCAAAAATTTTTAGGATGGAAGAGACACATTTTCAAGAAGAAAAGGATGAAAGGGAGTGTTTGGTATGTGTGGATATTTGTTTTAAACTATTGTTTCTTAGTATATGAAGTCTTATATTAAGTGTTGAGTGACTTTCAGAATACTAGAACATAGCAGTCATTTGTATTACGTGGTAACCATTAACCTGGGGAGAAAATGATGTATGCCCTGCTTCAGATACCTGGTTGCCTATAGTATATTCAATATGTCTATAATCATAATTTTAATTTGTATGTGGTTAGGAAGTACACTTTTTATTTGTATACTCTCAAATGGCAGCATTGAAAATCTCCTTCTGTTTAAAAAAACCTAAACAAACAGAAAGTGGAAAAAATAGCTATCGGGTGAAAATCTTGCATTATTCGCTTAAGGTATTTTAGTTTTTTTGATTGAAAACCTACTTCAGAGTATTCTCTTTCAAAGCACCAGACCGACCAGTTCACATCATTGCTGTGCTCCAAATGTAGCAAGATTTCAGGTGACTTCTGTTGCCTAACACATAGGAATACTGACCTATACTTTGGAAAGCCGATGTACAGAACCCATGGATAATACACCACACATTCCCTCTCGAGAGCACAGAAAGTCGAACTGACTCACAGGGACAGAGCAATTGAGCAGCGAGGCCAGATTTTGTAACACGCGTAATGAGGCTGGACTTTCTTGCACGCAGTGTAATTATTCTCACTTTGTGTTGCCTGTCAGGGTCTTCTGTCTTTCTGCACTGGCTCCTGCATTTTCTTAGGACTGCCCTGTAACCAGTAACTGAGTTTTGGCTATTTTTTTATCTTGTTTGCATCGATGCAAGTCATTCGTGATGATTTTTTATAGAAGTAATCCACAGGCGGTGCGGTGTCCATTTCTTGCTTGCTGGAACAAATCTTTAGAGCGTGGACGGCAGAATTCTAGTAATAGAAAGACTGGTTATAGTATGTGAAGATGGCACAGGGAGCTGAGCTGAGAATTCTCCCCAACACTTCCAGTACTATATTACGTTAATATTTGTTTCTAATCACCAGAAACACTAAAAACTAGAAATCAGTAATTAAAAATTTCCTTCTAATCACTAATGAGGTACCAGAACTTGATATTGATCCTGCTCTACAATTACACTTTCATGTGCCTTAAAGTTTTGTGTAATGTTCCTGTTTGAGAGGAATAAAGCCCAAACTGTTAGAATTATTCTCCATGAAACATGTAGTATATAGATATATTTGTGGTCTCTCCCATAAAAACTGGTTTAATTTTCATTTGTTACAATTCTTTTTTTTCTATAGATTAAAAGTTAAATAATAAATGGTTATTAAAAAAGCATGCATCTTCCCTTCAAATAAATTTGTGGTTATAATTATCTTATTATTTCTAATATATTTGTATTAATTTTATTTATTTTAGACTGATTGCTTTGTTTGTAGTAAAGTAGTTGACTCAGAAAGTAACATTGCTCTTGCTTTTGGAAATTATTAGGACTCTTGTGTTGAAGACGTTCGACTGCCTCACCGTGTAACAGCACAAGATCATTTGAATGTACATCTGTGGCTAAGGTGTCGTACGATGTTAGTGACTGCGCTAGTAACACAGATACGTGGCGTTAGTTTTATGGAAGGTATTACTCTTTTTTGGTTTAGACTTTTAGATTATACTAAGCAAGTAAGCCTATTCAGACACAATTCTTATTAATAAATAGAAAAATTTAACATTAATTCTGGGGCTGTATTATCACTGAGCAATTATTTGTATTAAATTCTTCCAATGCAATAAGGAAAATATATTTCGGAGTACAATCTCTCCCTAGAGCATGTAAACACAAAGCATTATAAATTTTCATTTGATGGTCGTTATTTTTCATAAATCACTTGTATGTGAAAAAGTTTCAAATGTTCTAATGTAATTAATTTAAGTAAGTATGCTTGTTTTAAAAAAAACCACAGTTGCTGCATACTTCTAGTTTTAAAAGTCTCAAAAGTTTTTTTTTACTTTTTATATCTCCAGTAAATGAAATGTTCCTATATATCTCCTAAAAAATGTTCCAGATTATTTTTTTAGAAAAGAATTTAATTGAGATACTACAAAATACATTTATTGCAGTTTGGTTATGAATAAAATGTTTTTCACTCCTTAGTTCTATGAACTTAGTATAAACTCTAACGCTCATATAAGTATCAAAATCAAAGTCTAGGTCTGTAGACAAACTCTTATTTAATCTTGTCTGGATAATTCCTGTGAAGGTTGTTATTATTTTGGAGCGATAACTAAGATCAGATTTTTGAACATGTAGAATATGTTTTATGGGTGAGACTGACATCTGATCTACAAAATCTAATTATTTATACTGATGGTTTATATATAAAGAAAGTATTTGCATGAACTTCACCAACTGCAGTTTAAAAACTAAGTAGTTTCTATTTCTTTTTAAAGTAAATTTGGTGCAGAATCAATGAAATGGTAAATGTCGAATCTATAATGTCAGATCTTCTGTAACTTTTTAGTGCGAAAGTGACTTCTTAAGAATGGTAGAAGGTACCGTAGTCTTTTCTATTGTATTTTTACTGTTCATATATTCTCTTCTTTTAGAAAATGATGTGGCTGAACGCAGCAGTGTGATAAAAGAAGTAATACTAGAGGCAGAAGCCTTTGGTGATACTGAGACTCAGGCTGAAATGATGGTGCAAGCTGCTATTCTTGACCTGCAAGAAAAACATCCCGTGGCAGGCATTAAACTTCTTTTGCAGGTTTGAGCACAAAGGAGAAACTGTTTGCTTTTCTTTGATGCATTTTTCATGTAGTCAGAACAGCTGATGCCAGCATTAAATAAGCTTGAAACAGTGCCTCTAAAATAGATATTTTTTTTTTCACTTTATGTGATTTGTCCTCATAAAGAGACAGCAAAAGTAGTAACTACTTTGGTTTATGTTGTCTATGTCCAAACAGAATATCATCAGTTTACTCCAAGAGGATACATTTATTTCCCCTCCAGCTTCTTTGACCCTTGTGAAAAGTATGCTTCTGCTGGCAGACATACTAACACTGCAAACAGTAGAGGATACAGAACATTGCTCTTCTGCAGGGGAACCATTGAACTTACTCATTTTGGCACATGAGCTTACCATTAAAGCAGTGAGTATATGTTGGTGATTTACACAGCATTTGCAAAACTTTCCAATAACCTGAATTATCTCTTCTGGAAGCTATTTTAACACTTTATTAAAAAGGGCTCTTCCTATTAATGGATCACTTCAATTTTTCCTAGATTACATAGTGTAAAGAAGTAATTAATCTTACCAAACTTATTTATGCATACTCATCATGCATACTCATGTATGTAATCTGGTATTTTCATACAATTTAAAAATATTGCAAAATATACATCCAGATGTGAAAACTGAAATAGGTAGTTTGACTTTGAGAGAAATGCGGAACACTCACTTTTCCCATTTGAAATGAGAGATATGTTTGTGCTCAGCACCTCAGGGAGGATGTATATCTCATAAAATTCCTAACTCTTGAGCATTCAAGTTTAAGAATTTAGCTTTGTATCTTAACATAGAATAGTTTGAATTAGAAAATCTATATAAAGTGGCATATTGTTTATGATGTTTTAGATTGACAGATTGTTACAATCACTATGGAGAAAGCATTTCCATGTAAAAATTTAAATATGCAATAAAAAAAATAGATCTAAAGACATGAAATCTGTGAGAGGAATGCATAGTAAGAAACCGTTTACCTATTTGGTGATCCAAAAATAGATATGTACTTCTGCAGTCTATACCCATTGTTGACACAATTTATAAAGAAAAGCTTTTGGATCAAATTCTTCCCTCATATTTCCTCATATGGAAGTTTAATCCATTGAAATATTTGTTCCCCCAAGTAATAAAGAATCCTATGAATCACTTCAGACTCAGACTTCCACTTGTGAGACTTGCTAGCCTTCAAGAGACTTAACAATTTACAGCATGTCCCTGTTGCCTTGTTTCCAAGAATGAAAAGTTTGACTGGTCCATACACGTTATTTTCTTTTTCTTTTCTGGCCTTTGTTGGATGTCAGATTTCTGTGTGGAAATGACAGTTTATTTCTAGGGCTCGGGTTACTTGGGAGATCTATTTCTTAAAGACTGATTTGAGGGTTTTTGCTTCTAGAAACCAAAGCCTAACATTAATAAATTTGATCAAGAATTCATTGAAATTGTTCATTTGCTACCAAACTCCTCTGCAAAGAAGATAAGTACAAACTGGAGTAAAGGAGTTCAGGAGTATCAAGCCCTTTTCTAGTGCTCTTTTACAAGACACATTTGAGTTCCAGGGTTTTGCAATACTTAACTCGCTTATTCAAACTGCTATTTAATTTGCTGTCTGCAACTTAATTTTACGAAGAATACTTTTTTCATAGATTTTTGTTTGTGGAGAACCCATTGAACGGCAAATAGAAGACAGTACATTGACTTGCCTCGTCCTACCTACAAAAAATATCTACTTGCCACATATCAACTTGCTAGCTCAAGTCAAAATGAGAATTGGTAAGCAAAATGCAAGTCATTATTATTTTTAATTTTTCATCAATTTTCATTCATATTTTACACAACAGCAGATCAACCGATGCATCAGAAGTGATCAGAATCAATTGTTTTCATTATACAAATAAAATATTTTGAAAACCAACAGTAGATGCCTGTTGGGCTCCATGCAATGTGTATAAGCAAGGAACAATTCTTACAGGAACTATAATCTTAAGGCTTAAAATTTATGGCTTAAATATTAATGTTATGGCTTGATGAAACTAATGGGAACTTCAGTTTATTTAAGTGGAAGTTAACAATACTTTTCCAACTTCTGTACAAAGCATTCATTCTGTGAAAACTTCCTGTATATGTTCCATCTCTCTGGAAGCAGTTATATGGGAACTAACTAATAATATCAAATCATATGGAATAATAGTGATAATTCTCTATCCCAATAAAATAAATAGTGTCTGTTATTGTTATCACTCTTTCATTTCACAACTTTTCTTGATAACTTTTCTTTATATAGACACTTGGAAATATGCTAAATAGTAACAGAAGATAACCTTTAAGATCTGTCTAAGATTTGTTGCTGTATAGCAAATATAGGGAAGGGGATATTGTCTCCGTGTTCCTTCTGCTTAACTTAATTTGGTGTCTATCTGACTTAAAATGGACTAGAAAATCTAGAAATCACTTACTGCACTTTGACTTGCATTGTGGAGCAGAGCGTTCTGGATTCTTTTTCAGGAAGGTACGCTCCAGGAGCACGTCGGTGCACCCCAACCACTACTTTGCATTCAGCCCTTAGGATTAGAATAGAGGTAGTCCCAAGTAAACACTCTGAAATGCATCTGCTGTGGCTGTCGAGTCTTCAACACCAGCTGGTTTTCTCCAGAGATCCACTTTTATTGCGCTTTACTGCTTGTCAGTGCAGGCATGGCCCCACTCACTCATAGTCATGGCCATGTTTGACCAGTTCCTGTTTCTCAATCCACATTTTTTGGAAGAGCCTATGAATACAGATAAATATTGGGGAGTACAGTGTAAGAGGTATGCAATACATCAGAGAAGCATTTAGAACTGGTTAATACAAAAGGAATTTGGAAATGCTCAGAGAGGTTTAGGTTTTGCCTACAACTGCCAGGTGAAATAAAGTTATGAAGTGGCTTACTGCTAGTCTTTCCAGATAATTTGTAAAACAACTGATTTGTGTAGCCTGAGCTTCTTTTGGATGGCCTAGGTAAACCTCAATGGCATCGTAAAGTAGTGAAACAACATTATAGTTCTGTATTTATATCCATTAATCACTTGGATTTTTGAGAATTGGATTGTAATAGTAAATACATAACAGCATTTGTTCTAAGGAAGTTGCTTCTTTTTGCATAAACTGGTTAGCCATTAAATAATTTACTAAGAACCGTCTTTTTTTTTTTTTTCTTCCTTAGGACGCACATTAGCTGAAAAAGCAGCTTGTACGTCTGCGAGAGGAGATCCACTGCAATGGCTGTGTGCTCTCAAACATTTAGAATCAGCATTGAAGCTTTGCAGAGCATCTGCAACAAAAAAATTAGATATGGAAGCTGAACTTCTTTTTCAGATAGGTAAGTAAAACCCTCTTTGTACATCATGATTGCCTTCCTAGGCAATGTTATGTATGTGGCCTCTCTTAAAGTAGAGAGATTTTACTGTAAAAATAGAACAGATTTGGGTATTTCTCACCCTGTCTAGCTGCAGATCTCTCTGCTGTGTTTAGTATCACACCAGCATAGTGCAGGAAGCATTACACAACAAATAATTTCAAAACTGCAGTAGAAATTCTCCCACCTGTATGTTGTCAGGGATCAAAGGGTGCAGCCAACGAGGTTAAGGACACTGAACAAAGCTAATTAGCTTCATTGCATCAGTTGAACTAAAGAAGATGAGAGGCTCAGAAAGTAAATGAAAATGAAAGCTAATGAATTACTCAACGTTTGCATGCATTTGGATTTTAGTGGCATTATATTCTGCACCAGGAGGTGTTGGTTTGTTAGGTTCCCAGCCAGAAAGGCACTCAAGACTCTGTAAAGTATCTCTTAAAATCCCATTTATTGGAGATAACACTATAAAGAAAAAGAGGATAATGTAAATAATCTCATGTCCCTTCAGATGCTGAGAACCCCAAGTTGTGCAGTATTGAATGCACTTCCAGATCCTGTCTGTGGAAAGGTGGCCTCATTTTGGTCTTCTGAGCCGTTAGAGGATTTCCTTAAAAGAAAACAATTCTATTAATAATTTCTACTGTCGATCAAAAAGCATATTCACTGAACTTCTTGCTGCACTTTGACAGAATGGGCAGGTGGTGTAATGACCGGCATTGAGAAGATGCTGCCAACAGGTTCTTCTTTTACAGCTGGCTGGCTACATTTATTATTTATTATTAACGTAATTAAATCTGCTTTCTATATTCTTTCTTAGGTAAGGTAGAACGCCAGATAACTGAAGCAGGGCATAACAAGTCATCTCGAGCTGTTGAAACCCTGTTGGAAGCTATAGAACTCAGCCAGCAACATGATCAAAACTTTGCGTAAGAAACTAGTTATATAACTTTGAAAATAGTTTTAATCACACATGAGTATAGTTTTTGGACAGTTTTCTGAGATTTGATGTGGGACTTTATTATGAAGCATCTTTTCTGTTTTGGAGAGTTTTCTTCTATTACAGTATAGAAGAGCTACTGTATATTTATTCTTTTTAAAAACAAATGCTGAGAACATTTAAAAGCATATTTTAGAGTATACAAAGTTACAGGTTTCTGTTCTGTTTCCAAATTTGTACCCTCTCTGTCAACACCAGGAACAGAGCTATCAATTAAACAGGGGTTTTATCCATATTTCAGAAGATGAGCTGTGGTCTGCCCCCTTCCAGATAATAGAAATCCAGCTTGAAAAGGTTAGCAGCCAGAAACAGTCAGAAGAACAGAGGCAGAAGGAGCACAGGAAATGTGTTTGTAACAGATATCAGGACAGTGACTTTGGCATTAGTTATCAGCATAGAAGATGCCTGAAGAGCTGAGCCAAGCCAGCCAATAAATTCTGTCAAGCAGCTCTGACACATTGGACTTTAGGTTTTTCTTAGTTTCTTGTCCAGTCTTACTGAATAATGTGCCATGTCTGGTTACAGACAGTGTAAAGGCAGCAATTTACCTTGCTTGTTTGGGTATTCTGTTCCTTAAGTTAATGAACCAGAACTCTGAACACAGAAGCAGTAGCATAGTAATAAACCTCTACAAGCAGTCAGCGTGATGGAAGATAGTACAGAAATGGAGTGTGGTGATGTTTTGCAAGTTTAATTTGCTACACACTCTTATTTGATTTGCTAGCATCTTTCTAAAAGAATGTACAGCAACATCGATGGGCCTTGGTTTTCTTATTTTAGACAACTAAACATCCCGATCACCTTTATACAAGCCCTCTGATATCTATGGGTTTGTTTAATTAAAGTTATTTCTAGATGTCTCTAATCCTTTTTTGTTAGCAAGACTAGAAATTTAAATTGTCACCAACTAAGTGTAGAACTTGCCATCTTCCCACTTAGTTTGCCCTATCTTGAACTGTGCAGCACACTTTGACTTCTGTATTTTGCTTTACACAAATCATACCACAGCTAGAATTTATTGTACTAGATAAAGAGCCAACTCTGTGCAGTATGACTTTGTGCAGACTACTAACTACATAAGCAGGAGTTTGTTGCTATGCTTAGGAAAGCTAATTCATAGGGGAGATCTGGGGAGATCTACAGAGCCAGGAGGAACCTGCCTAAAGAGACTGTTATAAACCTGCAGGGAATAGAAATGTTGGAGAAGTTCTCCAGATATAGTGATTTTCAGCAGGTCGAGGGAGGGGATTCTGCCCCTTTGCCCCACTCTGGTGAGACCCCCCTGCAGTACTGCCTTCAGCTCGGGGGTCCTCAGCACAAGAAGGACATGGACCTGTTGGAGCAAGTCCAGAGGAGGCCACGGAGATGATCCGAGGGCTGGAGCACTTTTCCTGTAAGGACAGGTTGAGAGAGTTGGGGTTGTTCAGCCTGGAGAGGAGAAGGCTCCGGGGAGACCTTAGAGCAGCCTGCCAGTACCTAAGGGGGCCTGCAAGAAAGCTGGGGAGGGACTTTTTGCAAGGGCTTGTAGTGGTAGGACAAAGGGCAATGGCTTTAAACCAAAACAGGGTAGATTCAGGCTAGATATAAGGAAGAAATTTTTCACAATGAGGGTGGTGAAACTCTGGCAGAGGTTGCCCAGAGAGGTGGTAGATGCCCCATCCCTGGAAACATTCAAGGCCAGGTTGGATGGGGCTCTAAGCAACCTCATCGAGTTGAAGATGTCCCTGCCCATGGTAAGGGGGATGGACTAGATGGCCTTTAAAGGTCCCTTCCAACCAAAACCATTCTATGATGCTATGATTTTTGCCTGGTTTATAATACCACTGTAAAAATAACTGAAAGGAGAAGGAAGTATACGAGGAGAACGGGAACTGGTGAGCACACTCTGTCTGAAGAGTATTCTGGTATAGAACGCAGAAGGTTGCTCAGCTAAGCCCAACGAAGAAATGAAAGACTGTTTTGGTCCTGTGGGTATTTTTGCTGATTCTTGGGAGAGTTTGACTGAAGACCCATATCCAAATTCAGCTACCGATGTTTCAGGGAAACCAGGACAATGGATATGTGCCTTGACTTGAGGAAAGAAGAGGAACCCATGTAGATCCTGTACAGAAAGATCAGTTCCCTTGCAGAATTACAGTTTTCTTACTAAACATTTGCAATTTATTTATGCAATATTTGTTGCACATAATGTAAATTGTATTTGACATACTCTTAAATCAATGTGTTATTTGTTAAGCATACCATAGGGATGGTTTAGACTCACTAAGACTTTAAAAACAAGATCACATGGCTTTCTGCAAGAAGATACACTTTATGTAGATGATGAGGGCTGGATGAATGATTTATTTGGTGAGGCTGTCTGGCGAGTCTTATTGCATTATTGCATCATTGTAATGCTTACTTTGATAGTAACATTGATTAATCCATGTGTTCTTTCTTACAGGTTAATAAGAAGATCATACCTTGAAATAGCACTATTATATTTGCATTTTGCCACAAATAATGAGGATGTGTCACAGACTGATAAGATGATGCCTTCCAAATCAAACGTATGTTTTCTATCTTTTGGGTAGCGGCCTCTTCAAAGCAGGAAATATATTTCTGCTAGAACATTGTGCACCTTGCCAGACTATTACTTACAGTGACTTATAAATCATACTGGTACTGAAAATCCTACTAGAAAAATCACACAAAGGAATCATATAGTACAGCAGTAGATTTTTATCTTGTTTGATGTTATTTCTCATGTTTATTGCATTGAACGATAACATTTAAAATATTTTTCTGTATAGAACAGGAAGAAACAGAACCAACAGTGTTTTCATTTCTGGTTTTGTACTAATTAGTTTGTACCTTGCAAAGAAAACATAACATTCAAACCTGGTTTTTAAGTGCTAATATTTATACTTTACCAGATTTCAATTTTTCAGTACAAATATAAGTGACAGCGTGAGAAATATAAAAGGCCTTAAGCACGTTAAAGTGGCTATAAGCCATAGATTCAAAGTGTAATGTGTAACATAAGCAAAAAGAGGTAATTAAGATTCCAGAAAATGGGACATTATAGCAAAACTGTATACACCACTGACCATAGTATGAACTGCTCTGAGAAAATTTTTACAGAAGCAGCCAATTAGTATGCTCTGGATAAATTTTTTCAATTTTAGCAATTAATCCATGGATTTACAATCAATGCTGATTTTTACAACTTGCAAATAAAGCAATAATTCTATAAGTAGGAGCACTTTTTTCTATATTTAAAATATATTTTACCATAATACATTTAGAATCCTAATTATAAACTGGTGTATAATTTTAGATCTCTTCTGGAGAGCGCTCTTCTCCTGAGAAGGCCCTGAAATCAGAAGGCTACAAAGTACAAGCCTGGATGGCCATAAGAGCAGCTACACAGGTTGGTGTTATATTCTGAAGAGGTAATTTTTTATTTTTTTTAAGTTTCATCGTATGCTACTCACACAAGCAAACAAGACAATGCAAAGGAGACAAGAATTAATGTTTCCTGAAATTTCTGGCGTGGGTCTTATTTGAGGAAATGAAAATAGACACTGTCTGAGTAGTGCATTTAATCTCTTATGGACAGATCTGACTCCGTTTACCTCCATTTTGATTCAGTGCAAATAAAACAGCACACTGCTTGATATGTGTGCACATGTATTTGACATGTGGGCAGACACCAGTAGCATCCAGGTGAGGATATCTGATTTGAAATCACTTATGTACTAGTTAAGCTGTCAGCAGTAATGATTTATATAAGTATAGTATGTACCATGTCAGAGAGAAATAGAATATATTCCTGACTTTTAAAAATATTGAGTAATTAATTTTTTGTCATCATCTTGCTACTCTCAGATTTTAAAACCTATACAAATATTGAAGTGAACTGGTTCTGAATATAATAAATATTATTTTTAGGTCAGTGAATCTGTGCTTGCTTCTCAGCTATTAGTTGGAATGAAGAGTGTTAAAGAACACAGCATGAAGGATGCAGTGCAACAGAAAATCCCAGAATTCGCTTCCATGGATCTTCTTGCTTCATACAGAGATTTCTTATCTGGTATTCCTTTATACCTAATAATATTATAACATTAAATAACTAATAAACTATATATGCCATGTAATCTAGTAATACATTTAATATCTAATTTTCATTTAAGAAAAATTGCAAGTCAAATTTGGAAAGTAAAAGCAAAATCCTCATCCTGCATAGCAGTACAAAATATTGAGTAGACCTAATGGGTCTTTAAATATCAACCTCTGCATGCGTTCAATAGGTTAAGAAGAATCGCATTGTTTGTATGCTGTGGCTCAGCAAGACAGAGTGCACACACTGCCAGACTTTTAGGAAAACAGATGGACCTTTGTCACAGGACTTCCCCAGACTTCTAGAGCAGGTCTCGGCCCCCCT